CCTTTAAAAAATTATCTAATATGAACAGTGCTGTGTAGTAATGTCACAAAGTCATTGCTGTTTTCATGTTCATTAATGTTTGTTCATGTAATGCAGAGAATCCCAAACTATTTTGTCAGCCAAACTTGTTTGACCTAAAATATTTACACGAAGACCCCTGAGATTTAAGTTAATTTTTCAAAAATGTATCACATTTGCATATTCACAGTTCTCTGATGATGGTTAATGGTCACATTAACATGCAGGTAAACATATTAAATTAAATTTCTGTTTTTATTACTTAATCATTTCATTTAGGTTTTATATTTTAAAATAATTTATTCATCTTAATTTTACATTTGTATGATTTAGTTAATTATTAACTTTTCATCAACTCACAAAACCTGTGCATTTTTTTATGTTTAATGCACTACATATTGTTGATTACAATGGAATAAATGGAATATGTATATTTTTTTCTTTTTTTATATCAATGTGGTACACAATAATCCCTATCTAATTTATGTTATATGCAAATTAGGTCAAAAGAAATCTAAAAGTAATCAAAAATATTTAGGATATATTAGTAATCTAACAGATTACATTAGTAACTATAAATTGCGTCATGTAATTTGTAATCAGTAACAGACTACAATTTGTAAGTAATCTTCCCAGCACAAGTATGAACATTTGTAAAAATTCATCTTAATATGGTCATGTGACCTACAGCTTCAGTTGTGTTGTTTTACTGCCATTGACAAATCCTCTCCTATGGCCTCATGGGATAGCGCAGTGTCCATCAAATGCACACTTCAGAATCTTGTTGGAAACAGTAGGTCGTCCAGTTACTTTTCACCTGCTATTTTCCGAATACTGTATATATTCAGACATACTTTTTTTTTGCATATTATACAGTAGAGAAGTTTTTGATTTTTGAATGCAATACTTGATTAACTGGTTCATTTGTGTTTAATTAGGGTTGTAGCTAAACTCTGCAGGACAGTGGCCATCCAGGAACAGGTTTGGACAGCCCTGGTGTAGAGAGAGAGACAAGTATGGTACTCACGCCCCACTTTGCACCTGCATTGATCCGATCTCGTTGGAGGGCCAGCCCATGGCCTGGAGAGAGGGGTAGTCATCGGTTATCTCCCACTGGTGTCCAATAAAGTTCTCCCGCTCAAAGACGGTAATCTTTGACTCCTTGTGGTTCTGCACAGATCATAACAATGGGAGAGATTGTATTTTATTTGGAGAGACTGGAAAATCATTTCACCACTGATAAGTTGACATGGTTTCAGACTCACAGCAGAGCAGATTGGCCGGAAGGACATTAACCTCTCAATGTGGTAGGCATTGCTGCCACTCCAAGACTCCCAGCGAGGGTAGTCGCCTCTTTCCAAGATGAACTGCTGCCCACAGAAGCTGGAGTGTTCATAGCCCACCCAGCTGTTTAAATAGACACATGTACACAGAAAATTGGCATAATACAACAACAACATGGGCTCCTTTTAGATGTGTGTGTCTGTGAGTGCATGACTTACGCGCCACACTCCACCTTCAGAGAGCGGACATTGTCCATGCCACATTCCATGATGTTCTGACTGGCTGAGGTGAACTCCATGCACTTACCTTGGAAGTTCTCTTGGTCATAGACAGTTAGCTATACACATATTCACAGACATAACAGAGATTCAAAGCATTCAATAGCATTTTGCATGATTTCATAGCCATCAAGTGTTTACTTGCCTTCCATGGCCCAAGTGGCATGGGATTAGTCAGAGCCATCCTTGAAGATATCTCAAAGCTGATAGACCTGAAGAATTAAAAAAAAAGGTGTGGGTTCTATATCATTTATGGCAAGTGTACAAATAGCCTGAGGATAATGAACAAGAAAGATATGGCAGCCAAATGCATTTGTTGCTCCAATAAGTTAGACCTAACAAAATTTATGATTTAGACGATATACTCCAAACATAACAGAATAAAACCACTGTTTACTGAAATAGAAAAGACAGGTTTATGGCCAAAACATGAGGCCTTAAACAAAAAGTATACACAAACCTACACATTGCATAGATTATATCAGATTTAGCCAAAAGCATTAGTAAAAAAAAATTTTTTTTTAATTAAAAAAAAACTATCAATGTCAGGAATGTTTTGTTATGCAAAGCACAGAATGCCTAATCTTTATTTATTTTAAATACATTTTAATAAAAATTTTTTATTTAAATTTAATGTAGTCTTTTGTTTTACATTTAATTTTCTGAAATGCCAATAAAAATCATTTTAATGTAATTCAATTTAATAATTTAATTTAACTTAATTTAATTGATTTAATTTAATACTAATTTAATCTGTTGTTTTACATTCAATTTTCTGAAATGCCAATATGACAAAAAAAAGTGTCCATGCATATTTTGTCAAAAACGCCCACGAATATGCTTGCTATATTTGAGTTTTTAATTGTGTATACATGATAGTGCACCCCTCATTTGAGTTTGCAAAGCATGCTACAAGATGACCACAGTGGCTGAAAGGACAACCATGAAGGGCTTACCTGACCTACCCAACAAATAGCTGCAAGCGCTCAGGAGTTCCACACAACGGTCTCCAGACCACCAACTAAGGGCTCTATTTATATGTAGCATTACAGAAAGGGAAGATTGGCCACAGGGCAGGCAGGAGTCAGCACTTTGCCCCAGGCCTCATTGTTTTGGACTGAGCCTTTGGCTTTACCCAGCTCACAATGCCATCTGCCGTAGCCAGGGAGGCATCGTGCCTACTGGCATCTGCCACAGGAGTGGATGCCAGGCACAATGATTCCATGCATGTTTTTACATATGACCGGAGCGTACGGCAAAACGCACATGCTTGCATAAACACAAGCAAGCTGTTTCGACTTAAGATTGTTCCAGCAAAGACAACACAGACAGTGACTTCCAGGTTTTCAAAAATAGTTGGTAAAAGCATCGCAACCATCAAAAAAGCCTAAAGATAGTCAAAGAATGGTGGTTTTTAAGTGTTATCTGCATTAAAAGTCAATTTTTATCCTGCACTGAGACTCGCCTGCTCTCCTCTCGTCACAGTTACAGCCACAGAGTGATTCAGAGACCCACTTCCACCTGCCTTTACATACTCGCACACATATGCATACATACGCACATCCATTACAAGCACATCCATTCAACATCCATGTCCTGCCCACTCCTTTGACTTTATGCAAAGCAGGCTGCATGGATGGGGCCCAGTGTCGCACTAGGATGTGCATGACTAAGTAAAATGGAGCGTAAATAAGAAGATTAATAATCAATTTTCAGCTTTTTAGGTAAGTGTCAATGTGGTTCTTCAATGAGACATACTTTTTGATGGTCAAACGCGTTTGACTGTGTGAATAATTACATGCATCAGTATTTATAATTGTTTAATATTTAATAGTCTGGCAAATGTTGTGCATCTGTTTTTTACTCTTAACTTAAGCTCCAAATCCTTGACAACTTAAAATTGAACTGTAACCACCAAATAAAACTGCTGAAGCTTCACACAATGGCAACAAGTCCTCTTTCTCTCAATGGAGAGGTCTGTAGCCAGTCTACTGAGGTCAGCACATTGCTAGCTGTGCTGTAGAGAGTGAATGAGTGTATGTTTGAGAGAGAAAGTTGAAGGGATAGGGGCTGTGGAGAACCACGCTTTCTGCTGATGGAGGTAGACATCAGACATCCAGCCGCGGCCTGAAACAAAGCAATGAGCAGAGTCAGCAGGGTCACAGAGATAAGCCTGCACTCCAAACCCCTCCAAACACCCATCACTTTTAGCCAATAGCCTGGTCTCATTCTGCTCTAGAAGTACTGCTGGCATATATATATGTATATAAAACCCATTCGAAGCATGAAGCCCTTTTACATTTGGGCCTTGGCATCCTTTCCTTCGCCAGCACTCCTATTACATTCCATTGCTCTGTGCCTGACTGCAAAATTTTGGTGAGATTTGATTGGGGAGGTGGACATTTCAGAATGGCCACACTTTAAATAAGCTTGCTGTGACTGGAGAATGTATAGCGATAGATGTTTTTGACTGATTTGAGTACAAAGATTAATAGGTATTAGAATCATTTCTGAAGGATCATGTAACACTGAGGACAGCAGTAATAGCTGCTTTGCCATGAGGAATAAAGAATATTCTAAAATATTTTAAAGTAGAAAATTGTAATAACATTTCACAATATTACTGTTTTTCTTTTTCTTTTTTTTTTCCAAATTCAAAAATCTTTTAAATAAGCTTGCTGTGATTGGAGAATGTATAGAGATAGAATTTTTTTTGATTGATTTGACTGATTTGAGTACAAAGATAAGATATTAGAATAATTTCTAATAAATAATACTGTAGACTACTGCAATGACCGTTTTGCAAACAGGATTAAATTATTACTGAAAATATCTAAAAATAGAAAACTCTTTTTTATTGTTATACTATTTCACAGTATTACAGTTTTTACTTTTTTTAAAAATCATATTTAATTAGAAACCCATTTTAGTTATTTCAGAGTAGCCGTCCTATAAATAAGATTGCTTGGGGAACATATTTTTGCCTGATTTGAGTCAAGAAGATTATTTAGATATTAGAATAATTTCTGAAGAATCATGTGACACTGAAGTTTGGAGTAATGGCTGCTGAAAATTAAGCGTTGCCATCAAAGGAATAAATGTAAAAAAATTAATATATTAAGATAGTAAACAGTTATTTTAAATTGTAATAATATTTCACAATATTACCATTTTGCTGCCCTTTAAATAAACTTCTTGTGATTTGGGAAATGTAAAGATATATAGATTTAGATGCTTTTCACTGATTTGAGTAAGGAAGATTCAAACTTATTACTTTATAGAAAAGACCTTGTAAAGAAGATTTACTTGACTGATTTCCCAACACTGATAATGGATTCTCTATAAAATGTGTGACTACAACAAAGTATTAATCTTGAATCAGTCTTGTATTTAAGTTTAACTTCTCTTCTGTTATTAACAGCTTCAGCCATGTCACACACTGCTGTACAAGGAAGTATGGGTAGTCGCTATGCCACAGGATTGAGCTCCCATAGAGTATGTCAAATCTGCCATGTTCTTACTAGATTCCCACTTTTTCATCTAATATTGCCATTACATGTGTGATGTCAAAGATGCACTTGCTGAATGATTTCTCTTTACTGTGTGTTCTCTGATCAGATATATCTGTTTGAGTATGAGAATTTCCAAGGGCGCATGATGGAGCTGAGTGGACAGTGTCGTAACATCTGTAACAAGGGGCTAAACCGTGTGGGCTCCATCAGAGTGGAGTGTGGGCCGTAAGTACTCATCTGACAAATCATATGCATGATATTAATAATAATAATCATAAGATGAGAGGATAATGAAAAATATTTGGCGGTGGTGGTGATGATGATGATGGTGATTATTATTATTATTATTACACAAAAAATAATGTACACTACCATTCAGATGTTTTGGATACAATTATTTTAAGAAATTAATATTTTTATTTAGGAAGGATATGTTAAAACTGATCAGAAGTGACAGTAAACAAAGAACAATGATAAAATGTATCACAGTTTCCACAGAAATATTAAGCTGCACAACTGCTTTCAACACTGATAATAATAAGAAATCTTTCTTAAAACAAATCAGCATATTAGAATGATTTCTGAAGGATCATGTGACACTAAAGAGAAGACTGGAGTAATGACTGCTGAAATAGTTAAGTTATTTTAAATGACTTAAATACATTTAAATAACTTTAAAAAATAAGGACAAATTAAGTTATTTAAAAATATATATTTCTTTGTAATAATTTTAAATTGTAATAATAGTAATGGCTATTAATCTTTCATCTATTCATCTGAAAATTCATCTTGTCATTTTAAAATATATTAAAAAACTGTCTTTTTAAAATTAGAATACTATTTCATATTATTACTGTTGTATTTATTTATTTGCTTTCTTTATTTTCAATAAATGGGCTGCGTTAAGCATAATAGAAAAAACGACCCCAACATTTTTAATGGTAATGTTATAAAGGAGCAATTTAAATGGGAAGTCCTTTAAAAAATATAAACGTCATAATTTTACATTTTCCATAGATCAATTAATGAAAAATTAAAAAATAAATACAAATTATTTTTGTAATTTTTTTTATTTGTTAACTCCACATCTAATCAGTCACACAAAACCACTGTTAACTAGCACTGATTATCATAAAATCGGATTCATAAATACACTATTTTTTCCATACTGTAAATGCAGTAGATGTAAACAGAGCATTTACAGTACATGTGTCCTTTACCATCTTGCAGATGGGTAGGTTTTGAGCAACAGGATATGACCGGTGAGATGTTCATGCTTGAGAGGGGCGAATACCCACGCTGGGACACTTGGTCCAACAGCTACCGTTGTGATCGTCTCATGTCTGTCCGGCCCGTTAGAATGGTGGGTGACCGTTGCATCACTCCATTTCCCATTTCATCCCCAACCAACCAATACAGGAACACAGTAACAAACTTATGGCCTTTCTACATGTAGGACCCACAGGACCATAGGATCTGTCTGTATGAATGCATGCACTTTGATGGTCGTAAAATGGAGGTTTCTGAAGAAGACATCCCAAGTTTGTGGTGCTATGGCTTCCAGGACAGAGTCGCCAGCATTAAAGTAAATGGTGGAACGTAAGTGATTTAGCATCTCTTATATATTACAAAAAGATGATTACCTATTTTATGTCACCTTATCAATTAACGTATGCTATGTTCATTCCTACTTTAGGTGGGTTGGATATCAGTATCCAGGCTACCGTGGATATCAGTACCTGTTTGAATTTGGATCCTACAAACACTGGAATGAATGGGGCGCCCATCACCCCCAGATCCAGTCTGTGCGAAGAGTGAGGGACATGCACACGCATCCCAGAGGCTGCTTCGAAATGGCATAAGGAATGACACACGGCATGGACACAACAAAACCCTGCAGAGAAACCCTGTGGAATGTTTAAAAAAAAATCTTCATATTCAAAAAGAGCTGCTCTAAATAGGAATGAACTATCATGTGTTCATGTGTGTCATGGTTGCAGAACCAATTTTAAGTACAGCATTTTACATCCAACCGCTTAGTTAAAAATAAGTTTAGCAAATGGATAAAACTATTTTTATTTATTGTTTTAAATTTCAAAATGTAATGCTTGTTGAAGTATTCATAAGTTTTGTTTGATAGTTTTGCATCATTGCATGTTTTTTGCTCTACCCAAACCTCCTAGCATTTTGTTTCATTAGTTTATATAAGAATATCTACCATCCACAAATGACCTAAAGCTAATCAGAATCCATTTCTAATTTAGCTGCTAAACCCTGCAGGGAATAGTCATTGAACCAGAAGGAGGTGCAATTCAGCACCTCAGCATACTCAGCCTTCTCCTGCTTCATCACAGCACATGATCTAGATTCTAGAAGCTCGACCAGTATCGTGATGATCAAGGTTCTCAACATGGCAGGCTGGAACTGCTTTTCTTCCTCTTGTTCCTGGTACAGATTTCAGACATCCTTTATTTTCGAAATAGAGGAGATCCTGCAACAATTTATCTTTCTCAGGGATGTTGGCATGTAAAAACACATTTACTTGAAAATAAATAAACAAAAATAAAAGATTTTAAAGCACAATTATTGTACAATATCCTTAATTAATTGCTCTGCTCTCATATTAACAGTGCTTAGACTTGAGAACACATTAGGTGAATTATTTAATTATATAATTCATCATGCATAATAAATGAGGTAACAAGAAAAATTAAAACAATAACTGATATACACACTAGCTGGTAGTGGATAGTTGATATATGAAGAAAAAAAATCCCTTGCAAAAATTAACGATGGTTTAATTATAGTAAAACTGTATAGTAACCATGATTTTTTGGCGTATTGATTACGATTTGTATAACCAGTTTTACTACAAATACCATGGTTAAACTATAGTTCACGAGTTCGCCTGCGCATCCAGTCCTGATGGTTAATGGTAAACGAACTTGGCTTGCTGTCCTTAATGGAGGCTCGAACCCAAGGCTCAGCTTGAGCACCGAGTTCAACCCCCCATTGGGGTACTACCTAGAGGGAGAAAAACAGAAATAGAGGAGGAGATGGGGAGGTGGAGGGATGCTGGAAGAATTGACGCTGGGACCATGCAACGAGAGCTGCTTATTTAGGCTCGTAATGATCATTGACAGGACTGAATGATAAGGCTCCTCCCTAACCTACGTTTGGAACTTCATTTAGTGTTGCAAAACCATGGTTAATTTGTGGTTACCATGGATTAACTATAGAACCATGTTTTTTTGGTTTTATATGAAGTTCCAAATGTAGGTTGGAGAGGAGTCTAATTATTCAGTCCTGTCAATCATCATTATGAGCCTATATAAGCAGTTCTCATTGCGCCGTCCCAGTGTCAATTCTTCCGGCAACCCTCCACCTCCCCATCTCCTCTTCTATTTCTGTTTATCTACCTCTAGGTAGTACCGGAATGGGGGATTTTACTAGGCGCTCAAGCCGAGCCACGGGTTCGAGCCTCCATTAAAGACAGCAAGCCAAGCTCGTTTACCATTAACCAGCAGGACTGGGTGGGCAGACGAACTCGTGAATTGTAGTAAAACCATGGTTCATTTTCGTAAGGGTTGTTGATAGATAGATAGATAGATAGATAGATAGATAGATAGATAGATAGATAGATAGATAGATAGATAGATAGAGAAAATAGCCTAAAAACTCTCTCTCACTCTATGTATATGTATATGCACAAAAAAAGTATTTTCAAATGAAACAGCAGACATTACTTTAAAACAGAATTGACTTTCGAACCGTCTGCCCACTTCCTTCCGCAAGTTAATACTGTTCGTCTCTCTAGGGTTTTGCTCGATTACATGAAGTGGTTGCTTTAATACCTTCAGCAGCAGGCAGACATGCAGATTACAGAGCTAGAGCCACTCGCCCTAGGACCATCCAGTCCTGATGGTTAATGGTAAACGAACTTGGCTTGCTGTCCTTAATGGAGGCTCGAACCCAAGGCTCAGCTTGAGCACCGAGTTCAACCCCCCATTGGGGTACTACCTAGAGGGAGAAAAACAGAAATAGAGGAGGAGATGGGGAGGTGGAGGGATGCTGGAAGAATTGACGCTGGGACCATGCAACGAGAGCTGCTTATTTAGGCTCGTAATGATCATTGACAGGACTGAATGATAAGGCTCCTCCCTAACCTACGTTTGGAACTTCATTTAGTGTTGCAAAACCATGGTTAATTTGTGGTTACCATGGATTAACTATAGAACCATGTTTTTTTGGTTTTATATGAAGTTCCAAATGTAGGTTGGAGAGGAGTCTAATTATTCAGTCCTGTCAATCATCATTATGAGCCTATATAAGCAGTTCTCATTGCGCCGTCCCAGTGTCAATTCTTCCGGCAACCCTCCACCTCCCCATCTCCTCTTCTATTTCTGTTTATCTACCTCTAGGTAGTACCGGAATGGGGGATTTTACTAGGCGCTCAAGCCGAGCCACGGGTTCGAGCCTCCATTAAAGACAGCAAGCCAAGCTCGTTTACCATTAACCAGCAGGACTGGGTGGGCAGACGAACTCGTGAATTGTAGTAAAACCATGGTTCATTTTCGTAAGGGTTGTTGATAGATAGATAGATAGATAGATAGATAGATAGATAGATAGATAGATAGATAGATAGATAGATAGATAGAGAAAATAGCCTAAAAACTCTCTCTCACTCTATGTATATGTATATGCACAAAAAAAGTATTTTCAAATGAAACAGCAGACATTACTTTAAAACAGAATTGACTTTCGAACCGTCTGCCCACTTCCTTCCGCAAGTTAATACTGTTCGTCTCTCTAGGGTTTTGCTCGATTACATGAAGTGGTTGCTTTAATACCTTCAGCAGCAGGCAGACATGCAGATTACAGAGCTAGAGCCACTCGCCCTAGGATAGGAGTAAAATAACTCAATATCTTTAGAAGACTGACTGGCTGG